ACCCTAAACCCTAAACTCCCCTTTCCTATGCAGAAAACCTGACCAGGCCATGCCAACAGGCTTCGACTACTCGAAGTGCCTCGCAGTTAGCGTTTTGGGCGCTATGTTACCGGGGGTTTATGGGGTTTAGAAGGGATTTAGGGTTTAGGATTTAGGGTTTAGGGTTTAGGATTAGGGGTTATAAAAGGGGTCAATAATTCTGGTATATTATGGTAATATCTAGGGGTTATGAAGGGGTTATACAGGAGTGCTAAAGTAGTATATGATGGGATATTATGGTACTATAGGGGTTGTATAGGGATAATGGAAAAATGGAAAGAAACTACTATTTAGGGCTTGGCTTAGGGTTTAGTATGCATGTGGGGGTCTGCTGAGGTAGGCTTGCTGGAGCATTAAGATATGCTGCTGAGAAGCGCATGCGGCATCTAAAGAGCATGCTTGCATCGCTGCACTTCTCGTGACTTTCTTCCCTGCTTCCAATTATTGGTCTAAGATCCCCAAATCCAAGGGTAGCTACCATTTTCCAATTTCTTTTCCATTTAACTCTCGATTTTGAAGGTATTATCCCTTTAAAGCCTAAACCCTAAATCGCTGTTTCCATTTCGTTTTCCATTCTCTTTTTCATTCGATTCATCGCCCGCAAGGAGTGGAGCCCGCCGGCTCAGCGTTCACTTCAATTTTCACTCGATTTTCCATTTTGAAAGTATTATCCCTAAAGCCTGAACCCTATATTGTATAATCCTAGGAACTCCTAAACCCTAAACCCTGAACTCCATCTTGAAGGTGGGATAAGATCGAGTTGTCAGATGATGAGGACGATGCAGCAGTCCCAGAGTCACACTTCATAGTAATCATAGGACCCCCACCCTGTCATATATACGGAGTTATGTAGGGTTGTAAGGGGTTATATAGGGGTATAGGGGGATACTGGAAAAGCAAATGGACGCTACTATTTAGGGTTTAGGGTAATGCATAGCAATATATGCGGGTTTAGGATTTAGGATTTAGGGTATGTAGTAGTATGTAGCAATATGTAGTCATATGTCGTAACATATAGCATCAGTGTATGGTAATATACAGGAATATACAAGAACATATAGAAGACGAACCATCATTATAGCAAAATGTAGCAATGTGGTAAGTTATAGTAATAGACAGTAATATGTAGTAGTACACCTATATTTCGATGTAAGCAGGTCTGTTTGTGAAAGTTAGGGTGTAGGGATTAGGGTTTAGGGCTTGGGGTTTAGGGCTGCAAGCCAGTTGGAGAAATGGCCTGAAAGCGCAGCTGTCTAGCTTAGACTGAAATTGAGCTGTTCCAGTCAAATTGCACTTTTTCCATCAACGTGGGGGTGGTTGTCAAAATTTTGGTCCCTTTTGGATCCCTATTAAAATACGGCAGCTAATATTTAGGGTACCCAAAAAGGGATCGAAATTTTGATAACCACCCATGTGAAACCATCCACTTTATCTCCCCGGCATAGAGCGGATGTGGGGGATCCAAGAAGGGTTCTTTGTAAGATCTCTGCGGCAGCAATCTTGTGGAATTTCAATAATTCACTAGTCAACTTTGTATTATGTTCATTTTCTGGCAGAATGTCAGAGGTACAGGCTTCAACAAGAATCCTTGTAGATCCCCAAATGCGAAGATAGATGGACGTATTTGTCACAACCTGTCATCAGCAAACGGTAGTATGCGTCAGTCTGAGAAATCATCGCCGCTGGGAGTATGACGAACAAATACTTTCTTTCGCGGGGACGTTGCTGCTCAACTGTTGTATGTAGCTAACCTTACATATCAGTTCATGTGCAGCTGCTCGACACCGACATGAGTATCAAGAGTATACTGTATGGAAATGCAGTTAGACTGCTGTTGAGTGAAAAAGCAGTAGGGCGCCTTTTTGGCTTGTGCCTTTCCCCCCTAGCTCCCCATGCAGGCTGTGAGTGATGGGGACACATTCCGGAATAGTCACTGTTTTCTGTCATGACACAAGTGGGTGCATATTGTGGAGTGTCGTAATGTCCAGCGCTTTCTAGGGGGACTTTGCTTTGGAAAGTGTTGAGTTTAGCAGTTCTTTGTCAGCGGCACTACATCCTCTTGCAGCCTTGGTGTGCGAGCTGAAATTCGCCGGTTGCGCAGTGTGCATCAGCCTGGTGTATGTTTATGGCTCAAATCCCCGCAAGTCTTATCAAGAACCGCTGTTGTCCGTGAAACTCACTGCTTGCAGCTGCGCCAGCTCTCCTTGGAGGTGATGACCCTGCAACTCTTCTAGCGTCTTCGGACACTTTGCGCTTTTGTTTGAGGCTGTGCATGATGCTTGGATTTAGGCACTTTGAAAATACAATTCAACAGGAGAAAAACAGCTCAGGCTTCACGGGTCTCTGTCTTTGGCAGTGCTTCTAGCTGCAACCGTAGGATGCTGTTCGGCCGTCAGGCAGCAACAGGGTTGAATCTTGGGATGCTTTGTTTTTGTCCATCCAGTTCATTGCGGCCGTCTGGTCAGAATAAGGGATTACATAGGCGACTACTATAAAGCATATTAAGGCGGATACTAGGAGTTTAGACTATGGCTCAAACAGTAGTTTCCATTTTCTTTTCCATTGCTACTATATATTCCCCATAGAATTCCAATATAATCCCTTCAGAAACCTAGGGGATATTCAGGGGATACCGGGAGTTTAGACCCTCAACCTTGATTTCAAAGCCTAAACCCTAAACCCTATTAGAGGGGAGTTTAGATTTTAAAGCACAGCCCAGGCAGCAGCAAGGTGAGGAGGCGATCGACACCATGCAGATGGAGATTGATGCCCAGGGCTCCATGTGCGACGGCCTCTTGTCTGAATGTGCTTAGGGCTTTGGGTGGTTTAGGGTTTAGGGTCTAGGGCGTCTTGCTGCGCGGCGGCTGGAGGTAACATGTAGAAATGGCGCCCCGAAACGCCCAGGGGTGTTGGGGGGTTGGCATTTCTTGCGACGGCACATTTCTCGTGCCCAACAAACCAAGAATGGTGCGTTGGTTTGTTCTTCCTACCTCCTGATTACGCAGGCATCCACCCAACTGTATTCCTTTTGGGGTTTCGGACTGACGCCCTAAACTCCCACTTTTCTTCAAACTCTGGAATAAAATAATCTCCGGGTGCCTCCCCCTAAGCAGGCCTGCGTGGGAATTTAGGGTTTCGGGTTTAGGGTGGCTAGCCATGTCTTCAAATGCTATTATTCTTGTTATTATGATTGCTAAAAAGATGTTGTTACTATTAATATTGTTGCTATACTGCCATTATAGCTATTACAAGTATTATTACGTGTAAGAAGGTAGCCATCGTGACGTTGGAACAGCTTCCCTAAACCCTAAACCCTTGAACCGAAACCCTTAACCCTTATAACCCTTAACCCTAAACACTTAACCCTAAACCCTGATGACGAGGCAAAATGATGGCAGAGATGATCCGATATTTCAGATTGCCCTTCCCAGCCATCAACGCTTGCGAAGAAGAAAACGAGGTGGGGTATGAAAGTGCAGCTGCCGATGCTGATGTGCTCTACATCTACCCCCAGGAGTGGTTTAGCCTGTGGTGAAGATGGATGACCCCTACGTTGCCCAATACTTCTTGCAATCGTTTTTCTCATTCGTAGTTAAACCTATTGAGTCCCGCCACAGGAGGATCACAACGGCGGCTTTGCTTTTTGTAGACAGGGGTATATCGACCCGCACCTGTGCTTCCGCCTCATGTCCATGGCTCGTCATTTCTCCGTGCATTTCGTGCGTGTGGCATCGGTGCAAGAAGCCATCGCCTACGTGAAGGCGCTGCCTAGCACGATGAGGCTCTGGCAGGGCCTTGCGCTTGTGCTTGACAGAAGGGGGATAATATTGTATTACTGAGCCTTGCTTCAGCATAGGTCTTGCGTTGAGAGTCTGCCGTAGGTAGTTTGTGGGTTAAGCTTTTTGGCATTTGCCTGACCATATCAGGCTGAAGCATGTCGTTCTTGGTGGGCATGGCATATACCGAGCAATGCTGTGGCTTGGAGGTTAAAATTCTAGACCTATAATATAATGTAATATAACCTCTATATAATCCCAGATTCCATTTCATTTTCCATCTTCTTTTCCATTTGATTCTCCATTATTGGTACCATAGTATCCCCAAATAAAATACTATATAACCTTATACTCCCTATAGTTTCCATTTTCTTTTCCATTATCCCCATATATCCCCAATATAGCCCTATAATATCCCGAAATAAAATACCCTAATCCCGTGTATGACATTCTCATGCAAGCGACAGCTTTGACTTCCTTTGTGCTCCAAATGCCTAAGCCCCAAACCCGAAATCCCAAACCCGCAAACCCTAAACCATCCTAAACGTTTAAGCCCTAAACCCTATATAACCCATCATAGTAGTTTCCATTTTTCCTTTATCCATACATAACCGTACACCTAAATCCCAGGTGGGGAAATCAAAGCAGCGAGAGTCGCTCGTTCATGCCTGTCTTGCACGTAGACGAGCAAACAGCGATTGAATTCCTCGATGCGCCTTGGATGTTTAGGGTTTTAGGGTTTAAGGTTTTTAGGTTTTTAGGGTTCTGGGTTTAGGGTTTAGGTTGGGGTACTCGTATACACTTTTTTGGGCCCTGGGTTCCTTACACAATTTACTGACAGCCAAGAGGGCAGGCACCCTTACTGTTATATGAGGACCGGGCTACCAAGGTTCTTTACCCTCACCTGATCATTGACGGCGCTGACGCTTGGTTGCTGTTAGGGAGCTTAATGTAAGTTTTCATAGTGGAGAAGCCGTATTATGTAATATGTATACCAATTAGGGCAATTTAATTGAAGTTCTTTAACAGCAACCCAGGACAGTCATGACAAATATCATTCCACAATCTTCTTGGACGCCTGCAGCAATGGCGAGCCGGTGAAACTAGGTACACCAGTAGTAGCCTTTTTCTTTTTTTTTTTTTTTTTTTCGGGGTTTGGTTTGTGTGCGTGCGAAACTCATGGCGACGGGCGCAAGGCCCGCATTCATGAATTTACTCCAACCTGGGATGCTAAAGCCTATTCGGGATCATGGAAAAGGACATGGAAACTATTATAATGAGGTTATATGGGTTTAGGGCTTAGGGTTGGAGATCATCTTTCTAGGCGTACAGAGGAAGCATCCCGCAGAACGTGAACATGGGTTTGAACATGTTGTCGATGTTTACTGCCCTTAGTCCCTGTATAATCCTTATAAAGACATAAAAAGTCAATGTTTATAGTGCCTCCAAACCTACCCTAGTTTTGTGGAAGAGCTTCCCAAGGAAAACTCCAGAGCTCTTGGCAAGTCCTGGCTGCCTCACCTGACCTCAACCCGAATGGCGGCTTTAGGTGGGTTCAGGGTTTAGGGTTGAAGTAATAAGAAAAGAAATAAGTCATAGTGATAATAGCAATAAATGTAATAATCGTAAGAATACGTAGTAATCATTGTAATAATAAGAATTGCGACAGGAATAATGTGAGGATAGTAATATGTTAGTAGAAAAATAGCTTCGGGTTTGTGATTTTTGGTCAGGAGACCCTAAACCCTAAACCCCTATTCCTAGCCAGTCTGCAGGCCGCAGGCTCAGTCCCGTCCTCGCCGACAGAGGAGGCATGGTGTGGTAGTTTGTGAGGGTTATATTTAGGGTTTAGGGTTTAGGGTTATATTTGGATATCATCCCCCAATAGTGGAGAATCAAATGGAAAATACAATGGAAAATGAAGTCGATACTGCGTTTGTGTAGGGGTTTTGTAGGGTAATGGTAGTTTCCAAAATTAGGGGGACACCAATATAGATGCCGAAACACTATAATCCTTGCTATATGGGACCCCACCAAAAGGTACCCCGAACTTTGGGAGACCCCCAAGTGAGGTTCCGAACAGGGACGACAAAGCGGGTCCAGAAGGATCATGGGCAAAATGCTGGGTGTATCTATCTCAAGATGTTGGCTTCTTTGGAGTGGCTGCAGTTAGGGTGACCTGTTTTTGCTTTCTAGTCTGTGAGAGGCGGAGCTTAACCCCAACTTCCTTCAGGTGGAAAAACTTGTAGTAAATTAGTGTTGAATTTGGACAGACATGGTAGCTCTACAACACGAAAGCGCACGTGCAGTTTCATTTCATGGGAAGTAGAAATGCTGCTGTGCTGAAAATCGTCCATATCAAGCTTTGAACGGCTTCCTGCAGGCCTCTGAGAACCTCGGCTGGCGCCCCAAAGGACAGATTGCTTTTCACTAGGGCTTGAGGCTTGTGGCTTCAGATATGGGGGTTTCACAAAATTAGGGGTACCTTTTTCGGAGGTCCCAGCTATAGTAATTTGGGTTTATTTTGGGTCCCTGTATTTTGGGTAACTACCATTTCAGTTTCAGGAGCTGGGTTCGAAAGGATTCATTGTGTATGGCCAGGAGAAGGGATTTGAATGGCATCGGCGTTTGTTGTTGAACAAAGCAGCAATGGGAACTTCAAAAGACGTTCGCAACAGGACAGGGAGTTGCCATCATATGGTCTTGAAGAAGACCCGAACTCCTCTTCAACACCCTAAACCGTAAACCCTAAACCCTAGTTTGTGGAGGTGACTCTTCTGAGAAGCGGAGCGCTAAGCATTCTGAGCTCCTCAGAGCCCCAGGAGTTGCCAACCTTTCCGGCAATTCACGGATCAAGGCGATTCCGGGTTGTTGTTAAGGAACTTAAATTAAGTTACCATAATGGGTATAGGGCATAGGGTGTATAGGGTTTAGGGTTAAGGAACTTAAATTAAGTTACCATAATGGGTAATTATATATAGTAAATAAAAGGGTTTCCCCAATATGGTAACTTAAATTAAGTTCCTTAACAGCAACCCAGGATTCCGATTGTAAAAGGAGCATTTGGTAGTCCTACTGCAGGCCTGATGCGTTTATAGTCCCCCTCAAGTAGATAGAATCTGGCTTCGGGTATATTGTAATAAGATCCCATATACCCCATATTCTATCTACTTAAGGGGGACTATATCCTAAAACATTCGTAACCCTGTCTGACTACCTCATCAATGCTGTTGATCCCTCCGGACCACGCACCGCATGACTTGCCTGGTGAATAAGGTCCCTGACGCTCCCAAGCACCTGCCCCACAACAACCAGAAAAAATGCATCCACAAAGTTTGGGTTCGTATACTCAAATAAGCATGTTATTGCTAGCGGCAAGGGTGGTCTGTTGTCTGGCAGGTTGGTTCCTAATGAGCCCCATAGTCCTAAACTGCGAGCCAACGTTCTGGAACCAAACCCAAAACCCCAAACACCCTAAGCCTAAACCCTTAAAGCGCGAAACCTTAAACCTTGAACCCTGAAGTCTCAGGTGGGTAGTTTCCCCCCTAGAAGCCTCACATAGCCCTTACAGAGCCCTGGTGTCCCCATATAAGCCTTATATAAGCCTTATGTAAGGGTAGCCACCTGGTAACTACCCCCCTGAAAACTCCCTTAATAAACCCAAGGTCCAGAGAGCTTCATGTCGGTGGCCTCCCAGGCAGCCGTCGCCGAGTCGGCGGAGGCTTCTGAGGACAAGGCTCCATCTCCTCGGGGAAGTACTTTCTGGGTATTATATAGGTCGCGGGGTTTGGGTTTAGGGTAGCATCATATAGGGTTATATAGGGTTATCTGGGGATTATATAGGGTTATACGGGGATTATATAGGGTTAAAAGGGGTTATAAAGGGTTATATGGGGATTCTATCGGGCTATACGGGATGAACGTAGGGTTATATAGGTGGGAAGGTATTTGGAGGGTCAGGGGGACTTAGTGATAATGGAAAAGGAAATGGAAAACATTATTGGCGCTTTGGGGTTTAGGGTCAGGGGGATGTAGGAAGTAGGTTACTAATGGAGAGACTTCGGGTTACTATATATGGGTTATAGGGGTTATGAACCATCCCTTCAGGGCATTCTGACACATACGGTTAGGAGTTTGGGCCCCTCATATGGGCCCGGAGCCGTTAAGGGCACACAGGTAGGGTATATAGTAGGTATAGAGGGATCCTACGGTTAAGGGCAGGTACTATGGGTCCATAGTTTCAACCAAGAAGAAGGGTACGGTATAGAGTCTATGTAGTATTTGATATGAGAAATGTTATCTTACTAGGTTCAACCACCAAAGAGGGAACTTAATTTGGCCAACCTCTCCTCAGGCGTTTCAGCGCTTTCGGGATGAGTTTTGGGGTTCAATGTTCCGCGTTTATGGCTCTGGGTCAGGGTCTAGGTATCCCCATGAAGCCTACTGTTAAAAGGACAGCAACTCATGGTAGGGGTTGCATGTTAGTTGTGCGGATGGCAACGAACTTTACAGCTTGTCCTATGAGGAGCCAATTCCCCCAAAAGAAGGATCTCTCTGCCAAAGCCCCGTAAAACCCAGCGCGAGCAAGGGAAGTTCTGGATCTGGAAACCGTGGTTTCTTGGGATAATGGAAAAATGGAAACTATTACAATACTGGGGATGATGGAAAAGAAAATGGAAACGACTATAATATAATGGGGTAATATAGGGTAACTTACTTGTGGTCATAGCTGAGTAGGGCAGACATTTGCTGACATGAAGGACACATTGGAAAGAACATAAAACTTTCGGAGTGTGAGCCCTGGTAGCAGCGGTACAAGGAAATCCTTGCTTTGGTCCCTAAGCCCAGGGTTTAGGGTTTAGGGTTTAGGCGTTTAGGGTAGAATTCCTGACGTCATCCTTCAGACGACCGCTACTTGGAGGTTCATGGGTAGTTGTGCGTAGGGTTATGAGTACTTGTTGTATATAACTACAATGCAACCCT